TATTACCAAGGTTTATACCACTTTTCCTGGTATACTCAGTAAACTTATTCCTCTATAATTTTTACAATCTGTTTTGTCCCCCTTCCCTTTATATAAAGGGACTGCGCATGCTCTCTGCCAATCCCTAGGTACCTTCCCCTCTTTCATATATTAAACAAAAGTACCAACCACTCAACACTATATCTCCCCCTGCTTTTAACAATTCTGTCATGATCCCATCAGTTACAGCTGCTTTACCCCCTTTCAATCTACGTAATGCCTCACGTACCTCCCCCACACTTACATTCTGCTCTTCTTCACTCCTAAAAGATGGTATACCTCCCTGGCCAGTGCATGAAATTACCGCCTCCCTTTCTTCCTCAACATTTAAAAGTTCCTCAAAATATTCTCGCCATCTACCTAATACCTCCCTCTCCCCATCTACTAACTCCCCTACTCTGTTTTTAACTGACCAATCCATACGTTCCCTAGGCTTTCTTAACTTATTTAACTCGTTCCAAAATTTTTTCTTATTTTCATTAAAATTTCTTGACAGTGCCTCTCCCACTCTATCATCTGCTCTCCTTTTGCACTCTCACCACTCACTTCACCTTTCTTTTACTCTCCATATACTCTGCTCTTCTTATAACACTTCTGCTTTGTAAAAACCTCTTATAAGCTAACTTTTTCTCTTTTATCACACCCTTTACTTCATCATTCCACCAATCACTCCTCTTTCCTCCTGCCCCCACCCTCCTATAACCACAAACTTCTGCCCCACATTCTAATACTGCATTTTTAAAACTCATCCAACCCTCTTCAACCCCCCACTACTCATCTTTGCACTAGCCCACCTTTCTGCCAATAGCCGCTTATATGTCACCCGAACTTCCTCCTCCCTTAGTTTATACACTTTCGCTTCCCTCCTACTTGTTGTTGCCACCTTCCTCTTGTCCCATCTATCTCTTACTCTAACTGTAGCTACAACTAGATAATGATCTGATATATCAGTTGCCCCTCTATAAATATGTACATCCTGGAGCCTACCCATCAACCGTTTATCCACCAATACATAATCTAACAAACTACTTTAATTACGTGCTATATCATACCTTGTATATTTATTTATCCTCTTTTTCATAAAATATATATTGCTTATTACCAAATCTCTTTCTACACATAGCTCAATTAAAGGCTCCCCATTTACATTTACCCCTGGCACCCCAAATTTACCTACTATTTTACTCCCTCCACAACTTTTTTAAACCCACTTTAGCACTGAAACCCCCAAACCCACAAGTACTCTCACACTTGGGTCAAAACTCCCCACGCATTCACTCAACATTCCCAAAATCTCCTCTCTGCGCCTACACTTCTCTCTTCTCCAGGTGCAAAATACGCTACTATAACCCACTTTTCGCACCAACCTTTATTTTACTCCACATAATCCTTGAATTAATACATTTATAGTCCCTCTTTTCCTGCCATATCTTATCCTTCAACATTATTGCTATTTCCTTCTTTAGCTCTAACTCTGTTTGAAACCCCTGACCTAATCCCATTTATTCCTCTCCCACTGAAACTCTCCCACCCCCTCAGCTTTGTTTCACTTAAAGCCGGGACATCCAGTTTCTTCTCATTCATAACATCCACAATCATCTCTTTCTTATCATTTGCACAACATCCATGCACATTCAGACTTCCCACTTTGACAATTTTCTTCTACTTATTCTTTTTAGTTATCTTTACAGGAAAAGGGGTTACTAGCCCATTGTTCCCAGCATTTTAGTTGACTTTTACAACACGCATGGCTTACGGGGGAAAGATTCTTATTCCACTCCCATGGATATAAAAGGAAAAGTAATAAGACCAAGAACTATTAAGATAAAATCAAAGAAAACTCAGATGAGTGTGTATAAATAAACGTGTACATGTATGTGTAGTGTGACCTAAGTGTACGTAGAAGTAGCAAGACATACCTGTAATCTTGCATATTTATGAGACAGACAAAAGACACCAGCAATCCTACCATCATGTAAAACAATTACAGGCTTTCGTTTTACACTCACTTGGCAGGACGGTAGTACCTCCCTGGGTGGTTGATGTCTACCAACCTACTACTTACTAACATACTCATTAACATAATTATTAGTTTAAAACTCACATGTAACATTGCAAGTAATATGGACTTTACAAGAATGCTAAACAAAGTACAGTGGTATCTCGGTATGCATCCTTAATCCGTTCCAGGGCCTTGGACTTATACCAAACAGGACGCATATCAAATGAATTTTCCCATAAGAAATATAGGGAAAATAATTAATCCATTCCCATAAAAAAAAGCCAATTATTTTTGGCATATTATACATTGGTGGGGTTGTATAAAATAATTTAAATACTGCTTGATAATAAATTATGTAATTTAAACACTGCTTAATACTAAAATACTTAAACACAAAAGAATTAGATGAAATAAATGCAAATTTAACCTCACTTTGCTGAAAAGAGTTGAGTGCCTACTAGGATAGTTCTGAGAAGGGAGGAGGAGAAAATGTTATTGTTTGGAAGGAGAGTTCCCTTCTCTTTTTCTGTCTCTTTTTTCCTATTTGGACCTGGTTGAAGCTCACCAGGTTTGACTTTTACTAAAAATCTGTCCAAAGAATTTTGTTTCTGCCTTTTCCTCAGGATGTTTCAGAAATGTGACATTGTCTGGTCATTCCAGACAATGCTATTATGGCTTGTTTGGGCTTTGTTGGGGTTGTACTTCTCTGCAAAGTTTTTGATGTCCATCCATTTGGCAAAGATATCCTTGATTAATGAAGTAGGGGCTTCCTGTATCTCCTCTTCTGAGCCTGAAGAGAGTGCATCCGTCTTAGTCTTGTGCTCCTTCTCAAATTCCTGCAACTCCTCAGTGGTCAGCTCTTCCCTGTGCCCCTCCATTAACTCCTCCACATCACCATCATTCACATCCATACCCATGGACCTGCCCAGAGAGACAGTATCCTGGAAATAAATAACAAAAAGGCACAATACCGTGACTGGAACGATACACAAATAACCCACACATAAAAGAGAGAAACTTACGACGACGTTTCGGTCCGACTTGGACCATTGACAAAGTCACACTAACAGAGGTGGAGCAGGACGGCTATATATAGGCAGGAAGAGGTGGAGGTAGTAGTAGTAGTAGTAGTACAAGAATTGTATATAATACCGACAAGATGAAATTAAGACACATGCACAACACCCGGGCATCCCCATTGTAGACGTTTCGCCATCCAGCCAGCCACTGGATGGCGAAACGTCCACAACAAAGACAACCAGACGCCGCACATGTGTCTTAATTTCATCAGTAGTTGTAGTAGTAGTAGAAGAAGAAGAGGTAGTAGTAGTGGTAGTGGTAGAAGTGGGAAATAAGGATGACGAGCCAGTCAAAAACAAAAACAAAGGAAGGGGAGCACTGCAAGAGAGCTAGATGCCCACAGAGGGAGAGCAAGTGCACAGAGGTGCATGAAAGGGGAAGTGGTGAAATAAAATAAATGAAGAAGGAAGAGAAACACGAGACAGGAGAGAGAAAGACAACCCAGAGGAGAAAAGGAAAGAGGAAAGGGGAAGAGGAAGAAGAAAAAGAAAGAAAAAATGAGGATTCAGGTTAAGTCACAGGTGTTCTGAAGTTTGGAGCATTTTACAATGTAGTGGGAGAGGAAGGCATCTACAGAGACGAAGCCAGGGCTAAGGTTCATACAAGGAAAGTTGTGTATTAGAGAGGATTCAACTAGACGGCGACTGTTCGAGTTGGAAGTAGGGAAGACAGTTTTAGCAGAAGACCAGTCAATAGGATGGCTATGATCTCTGATGTGACAGAAAAGAGCATTGTTAGTGTCGGCAAGCCTAACACTATTTTTGTGCTCCCTAAGTCTGTCAGAAAGAGATCGACCAGTTTCTCCGAAGTATTGAAGAGGACAGGAGGAGCAAGAAATAGAGTAGACACCACGAACATCTGTAGAGGGAGGAGAGGTATGAACGAGATTAGTGCGAAGAGTGTTAGTCTGGCGGAAGGTAAGCTTGATGTCTAAGGGACGGAGAGAATTGTTGAGATTAGAAAGACCGGAAATGTAGGGAAGGCAGAGGATAGAAGAGTTCCCATGAGTAGAGAGTTTGGGAGAGAAGAAATTGCATTTAGCACGTGAGAGGGCAGAGTCTATGAAATGGGAAGGGTAGCCAAGACGGGAGAACGAATTATGAACGAGTGGAAATTTCTGCTGGAAGGAACTGAGGATCACAGATGCGGAGGGCACGGAGAAAGAGGGAGATAAGAACACTTTTCTTGACAGGGGAAGCATGCCACTGTGCATAGGTTTACGGTAAACGGAAAAGGAAAAACCTGTATCTGAGCGGTGGACATGGACATCAAGGAAAGGAAGCAAGGAATTAGATTCCCATTCAGCTTTAAACTTAATGGAAGGGGCAAGATTATTAAAGCTTTGTCTCGAGAGAGAGGTAAACAAGGGTAGCGTGCGGTGTTGTGACTCATTTTGACCCATACAAGTTCGATCACGTGAGTCGTATTAAAAACAGAGATTGTATACCAAGCAAAAATTTTCGCGTTTAAACGGGACGTATACTAAATTGGACTTATTCCAAAGCAGATGTATAGCGAGTTACCACTGTATCAGTATTATGTATAATTCTTCATAACTCTAAAGTATTTTTTAAATCTAATTTTTATTTTATTTAGATATTAAGGATTGTAGATGTCACTCCAAACAGCCAATATCCTAAACTGTCATATCTGAACACCTTTGCAAAGACAAGTGATTATGTGTAAATGATGGTAAAAGTGTTTCTTTCTTTTTTGGATCACCCTGCCTCGGTGGGAGACGTCCGACTTGTTGAAAAAAAAAAATAAGGACTTTTAATTCCTTTCTGTAATACAGTAATACAAATGCAGGGAGTGCTTAGCTATCATGCATATATCACCTACCTTTGAGTAATAATTTTAATATTTTTTTTCTTTTCAGGCAAATGTTCCCAACAAGTTTGATATCAAGGTGAAGCGAAACAATATCCTGGAGGATTCCTTTGCCATTATTAGCCAGGTGTCTCGTGTGGATCTGTTGAGAACCAAGCTGTGGATCGAGTTTGAGGGAGAGGTAGGACTCAGTTATTTATGTTTTACTAAAATGATAATGATTAAGCAGGATTGATGCAAGGCTGTTAACCCTTTATTGGGCAGACCCTATGTGAACTGTCAGCTTAGTGTCTTTTTTCCTGTAATTACCTTTAAAAAATAAATATATATTTCGCTAGTATAAATACAGCTGCATTTGTAATTATGTGAAAATGAGTATATTGATATAAATTGTAAGGATCTAGTAACTGTATATGATAATACAAAACTGGATTTGAAGATTTAAATCAAATTTACTCTTAAGTTTGGAATAGCAGTCTTACCGTTGATAATGATAAAGAATTCGATATTGTTTTTTTGGATTTCAGTAAGGCTTTTGACAGAGTACCACATTAGAGACTGTTAAAGAAAGTGGCAGATCATGGCATTGGGGAAAAAGTGCTGTCGTGGATTGAGTTATGGCTCACGAACAGGAAGCAGAGTGTGTGCATAAATGGGGTTAAATCCAAGTGGGGATCTGTAACAAGTGGCATTCCATAGGGATCGGTCTTAGGACCGTTGTTGTTTATAATATATATCAGTGACCTTGACGAGGGAATTGCTTGTAACATGAGCAAATTCGCCGATGACATGAATTTTTTTTTTTTTTTTTTTTAATAAGTCGACCGTCTCCCACCGAGGCAGGGTGACCCAGAAAGAAAGAAAATCCCCAAAAAGAAAATATTTTCATCATCATTCAACACTTTCACCTCACTCACATATAATCACTGTTTTTGCAGAGGTGCTCAGAACACAACAGTTTAGAAGCATATACGTATAAAGATATACAACATATCCCTCCAAACTGCCAATATCCCGAACCTCTCCTTTAGAGTGCAGGCATTGTACTTCCCATTTCCAGGACTCAAGTCCATTTATATAAAAATAACCGGTTTCCCTGAATCCCTTCACTAAATATTACCCTGCTCACATTCCAACAGATCATCAGGTCCCAAATACCATTTGTCTCCATTCACTCCTATCTAACACGCTCACGCACGCCTGCTGGAAGTCCAGGCCCCTCGCCCACAAAACCTCCCTTACCCCTTCCTTCCAACCTTTTCGAGGACGACTTCAGGAGGATTTAGACAAACTCAGTTAAACCCAAGGCTCTGAAGCTCGGGAGTGTCCGTAACCCTAGCACTTACAAGTTAAATAATGTAGAACATAGCGATACAGAATGCGTAAAGGACTTGGTGATTATGGTAAGCAGCAAACTTAAACCAAGACAGCAATGCCTAAGTGTACGTAATAAGGCAAATAGATTTACATCAAGAAGTGTAAGCAACAGAAGTCCAGCGGTTATACTAGAGCTTTTTATTAGTAAGGCCTCGCCTAGATTACGCAGCTCAGCTCTGGTCTCCATTTTACAGGATGGATATAAATTTGTTAGAAAACATTCAACAGCAAATGACAAAGTTAATACATAGCATTAGAAATCTTTCGTGTGAAGAAAGATTGAAGTCCCATGAATTACATTCACTTGTAAGACGAAGAATGAGGGGAGACATGATCGAAGTGTATAAGTGGAAGATAGGTTTTAGCAAAGGGGATATAAACAAGGTCTTGGGGATCTCTCCCTAAGAGAGAACCCTCAGTAATGGATTCAAATTAAACAAGTTTAGATTTAGAAAGGATATAGGAAAGTATTGGTTTGGAAATTGGGTAGTTGATAAGTGGAACAGTCTGCCTAGTCAGGTTATTGAGGCTTAAACCTTGGGTAGTTTCAAATTTTGGTTGAACAAACACATGAGTGAGAGGGATTGGATTTGAGTGGGACTTGCACATGAGGAAATTGAATTATCAAAGCTTATTGCTTGGGTAGCATTGAAAATTGGGTTGGGCAAATATTCTGTTATTGGGATGGATTGTGAAGGACCTGCCTAGTATGGGCCAACAGGCCTGCTGCAGTGTTCCTCCTTTCTTATGTTCTCATGTTCTTATTATTAGCTATGGATCTACAAAATTCTGAATATATCATGTAAGGTGACCTGTTGATAATAGGTAGTCCTAAATGGGTGCCTTGATCCTAATAATAATAATAATAATAATTTAGTTTCATATTTATACTACTATTGTTCTCTCTATAAAAAATCCATATGAAGATAATCTCTGACTAATTGTATTTGCTAGGTTTAAGCAATTTTATTATAGATCAACTTAATCTGGACTACAGTAAGATGGTTCTTTCCTGTCATCACCTGTTGATAAGGCTTAGCTTGCAACTGGTTTCAAGAAAACATGTCGGTGGGAGACGGCCAACTTGTTGAAAAAAACAAAAAAAAATTATTATTATATAGGTAGTAGGTTGGTAGACAGCAACCACCCAGGGAGGTACTACCGTCCTGCCAGGTGACCGTGAAACAGAAACCTGTAACTGTTTTACATGATGGTAGGATTGCTGGAGTCTTTTTTTTCTGTCTCATGAACACGCTGGATAACAGGTATATCTTGCTACTTCTACTTACACATAGGTCATACTACACAGGCATGCACATGCATATATATACATACACACATCTAGGGTTTTTCTTCATAGCTCTTGTTCTTGTTTTTTTTTCTCTCTCTATTGTCCATGGGGAAGTGGAAAAGAATATTTCCTCCGTAAGCCATGCGTGTTGTATGAGGCAACAAAAATGCTGGGAGCAATGGGCTAGTAACCCTTTCTCCTGTTCACATTTACTAAAAGTAAGAAGAAATCTTTATAAAACTGGGATGCTTGAATGTGCGTGGATGTAGTGCTGATGATAAGAAAGAGATGATTGCTGATGTTATGATGAAAAGAAGTTGGATGTCCTGGCCCTAAGCGAAACAAAGCTGAAGGGGATAGGCGAGTTTCAGTAGGGAGAACTAAATGGGATTAAGTCAGGAGTATCTGAGAGAGTTAGAGCTGAGGAATAGGTAGTAATAATGTTGAAGGACCAATTATGGAAGGAGAAGAGGGAATATAAATGTATAAATTCAAGGATTATGTGGATTAAAATAAGGGTCGGATGTGAAAAGTGGGTCATAATAAGCGTGTATGCACCTGGAGAAGAGAGAAGTGTAGAGGACAGAGAGAGATTTCGGGAGATGTTAAGCGAATGTATAGGAACCTTTGAACCAAGTGAGAGAGCAATTGTGGTAGGGGACCTAAATGCTAAAGTAGGAGAAACATTTAGAGAGGGTGCAGTTGGTAAGTTTGGGGTGCCAGCTGTAAATGATAATGGGTGCCCTTTGATCGAACTTTGTATAGAAAGGGGTTTAGTTATAGGTAATACGTATTTTAAGAAAAAGAGGATAAATAAGTATGCAAGATATGATGTAGGCCATAATGACAGTAGTTTATTGGACTATGTATTGGTAGATAAAAGACTGTTGAGTAGACTTCAGGATGTACATGTTTATAGAGGGGCCACAGATATATCAGATCACTTTCTAGTTGTAGCTACAGTGAGAGTAAAAGGTAGATGGGATACTACATGGAAAATAGAAGCAGCAAGTAAGAGAGATGTGAAGGTGTATAAATTAGAAGAGGAGGCAGTTAGAGTAAGATATAAACAACTATTGGAGGATAGATGGGATAGTGAGAGTATAGGCAATGGGGTCGAAGATGTATGGGGTAGGTTTAAGAATGTAGTGTTAGAGTATTCAGCAGAAGTTTGTGGTTACAGGGTGTGCAGGAGGGAAGAAGAGTGATTGGTGGAATGATGATGTAAAGAGAGTAGTAAGGGAGAAAAAGTTTGCATATGAGAGGTTTTTACAAAGTAGAAGTGATGCAAGGAGGGAAGAGTATATGGAGAGAAAAAGAGAGGTTAAGAGAGTGGTGAAGCAATGTGAAAAGAGAGCAAGTGAGAGAGTGGGTGAGATGTTATCAACAAATTTTGTTGAAAATAAGAAAAAGTTTTGGAGTGAGATTAATAAGTTGAGGAAACCTAGGGAACAAATGGATTTGACAGTTAAAAATAGGAAAGGAGAGTTATTAAAGGAGAGTTAGAGGTATCGGGAAGATGGAGGGAATATTTTGAGGAATTGTTAAATGCTGATGAAGGTAGGGAAGCTGTGATTTCATGTATAGGGCAAGAAGGAGTAACATCTTGTAGGAGTGAGGAAGAGCCAGTTGTGAGTGTGGGGGAAGTTCGTGAGGCAGTGGATAGAATGAGAGGGGGTAAGGCAGCTGGGATTGATGAGATAAAGATAGAAATGTTAAAAGCAGATGGGGATATAGTTTTGGAGTGGTTGATGCTATTATTTAATAAATGTATGGAAGAGAGTAAGGTACCTAGGGATTGGCAGAGAGCATGCATAATTCCTTTGTATAAAGATAAAGGGGGATAAAAGAGAGTGCAAAATTTATAGGGGAAGAAGTCTGTTGAGTATACCTGGTAAAGTGTATGGTAGAGTTATTATTGAAAGAATTAAGAGTAAGATGGAGAGTAGGATAGGAGATGAACAAGGAGGATTTAGGAAAGGTAGGGGGTGTGTAGACCAGGTGTTTACAGTGAAACATATAGGTGAACAGTATTTAGATAAGGGTAAAGAGGTTTTTGTGGCATTTATGGATTTGGAAAAGGCATATGACAGGGTGGATAGGGGGGCAATGTGGTAGATGTTGTAGGTGTCTGGTATAGGAGGTAGGTTACTGAAAGCAGTGAAGAGTTTTTATGAATATAGTATGTAGGAAAGAGTGAGATTATTTTCCAGTAAAAGTAGGCCTTAGACAAGGATGTGTGATGTCACCATGGTTGTTCAATATATTTATAGATGGGGTTGTAAGAGAAGTGAATGCGAGTGTCTTGGCAAGAGGTGTGGAGTTAAAAGTTAAAGAATCAAACACAAAGTGGGAGTTGTCACAGTTGCTCTTTGCTGATGACACTGTGCTTTTGGGAGATTCTGAAGAGAAGTTGCAGAGGTTGGTGAATGAATTTGGTAGGGTATGTAAAAGAAGAAAATTAAAAGTGAATATAGGAAAGAGTAAAGTTATGAGGATAACAAAAAGATTAGGTGTCGAAAGATTGGATACCAGGTTGGAGGGAAAGAGTATGGAGGAGGTGAATGTATTCAGATATTTAGGAGTGGACGTGTCAGCAGATGGGCCTAGGGAGGATGAGGTGAATCATAGAAATGATGAGGGGAAAAGGGTGAGTGGTGCACTTAGGAGTCTGTGGAGACAAAGAACTTTGTCTGTGGAAGCAAAGAGGGGAATGTATGAGAGTATAGTTGTACCAACACTCTTGTATGGGTGTGAAGCATGGGTGATGAATGTTGCAACGAAGAGAAGGCTGGAGGCAGTGGAGATGTCATGTCTGAGGGCAATGTGTAGTGCGAATATAATGCAGAGAATTCATAGTCTGGAAATTAGGAGAAGGTGTGGGATTACCAAAACTATTATCCAGAGGGCTGAGGAGGGGTTGTTGAGGTGGTTCGGACATGTAGAGAGAATGGAACAAAGCAGAATGACTTTGAGAGTGTATAAATCTGTAGTGGAGGGAAGGCGGGGTAGGGGTCGGCTTAGGAAGGGTTGGAGGGAGGGGGTAAAGGAGGTTTTGTGTGCGAGGGGCTTGGACTTCCAGCAAGCGTGCGTGAGCGTATTTGATAGGAGTGAATGGAGACAAATGGTTTTTAATACTTGATGTGCTGTTGGAATGTGAGCAAAGTAACATTTATGAAGGGATTCAAGGAAACCGGCAGGCCGGACTTGAGTCCTGGAGATGGGAAGTACAGTGTCTGCACTCTGAAGGAGAGGTGTTAATGTTGCAGTTTTATAACTGTAGTGTAAAGCACCCCTCTGGCAAGATAGTGATGAAGTGAATGATGAAAGTTTTTCTTTTTCGGGCCACCCTGCCTTGGTGGGAATCAGCCAATGTGTTAATAAAGATATTATTATTACGTATTATTATTATTATTATGTGGTGCTGATTTTTCAGACTATTTGTTCTGTATTATATACTAACCTGCTTTGTATATCTGTATACGTATAGGTGTTTATAGAGGAGGGAGCTTATATGCTCTGTATTACATACAGTTACCATGCAGTTAGGGCTGACTATTCCCGGAGTAGCATATCCCCCCCACTTAACCTAACAGACACTACCAAAAGCTGGCCCGCTAAACTGACAGCCGTACAGCCACTGGCATAATAATGGTGTATATCTGAGACTTCTTTCCAACTTCTGAGATGTGTTTGTTTACTTGCCTAATTTCAGCAGTGATGTGTGTAGTTTATTCATTTGGTAGATAGTAGTGTAAATTGACAAGTGGTAACTTCTGAGGCACTTTTAGCAATGATACTCAGCACTTAAGAAAGCCCCACAGTTCATTCAGTTTTTTGCTGGCCCCTACCCCACTCTCTCCCCTTCCTAAAAATGTCTCTTTGTGCAGCTGACTGATTTGCCTGATTGTGGCAATTGCTTTCTGTTTTTCATTGTTGAGTAGGAGTTTAAAATTAAGCATATGTTGCATTATTTGTGGCATACTGCATAACTTTCACCTTTTCACTTAGGTTGGCTTGGATTACGGAGGTGTTGCTCGAGAATTCTTCTTCCTCTTATCAAAGGAGATGTTCAACCCCTACTATGGCCTCTTTGAATACTCTGCTACGTAAGTTTTTCAAACAGAGTTTCAATCACTGCATTTTATTGTAATGTAGTTTTTAAATAATTTCTACTGTACTTTCTCAGTTGCTACTAACAATCCATGAATGTTTCTTTAAATCTTACTTATAAAATTTATTATATTAGTTATAGTAAAACAAGTGTATCTTTCTTAGAGACAACTACACACTGCAGATCAACCCATATTCTGGAATGTGTAATGAAGAACATTTACGATATTTCAAATTCATTGGTCGTGTGGCTGGTATGGCTGTTTACCACGGAAAGTTGCTTGATGGTAAGTCGAAACATTGTACAGTGTAATTTTTCTTTGGGGGGGAAAACAAAAGATATGTTTTGTTATGAATGGTGAAACTTTATAAACATTCGAGCTAAATTTATTAATGTTTATCTTTTTCATTTTCTGTAGCCTTCTTCATCCGGCCATTTTATAAGATGATGTTATCCAAATCCATTGAACTTAAGGATATGGAAAGCGTTGACTCTGAATATTACAATTCTCTCCTCTGGATTCAGGTGAGTTCTGATAGGATATTTTTTTCTTTTTTAACACGGCCGTTTCCCACCGTGGCAGGGTGACCCAAAAACAAAAGTAAAAGCTCTCATCAACATTCATCACTCATACATAATCACTGTCTTTGCAGAGGTTCTCAGATGCAACAGTTTAGATGTCTGTCCAAACTGCCATTATCCTAAACCCCTCCTATAAAGTGCGAGCATTGTACTTCCCATTTCCAGGACTCCAGTCCGACTAACCGGTTTCCTTGAATCCCTTCACAAAATATTACCCTGCTCACACTCCAACAGCTCATCAGGTCCCAAAAACCACTTGTCCCCATTTACTCCTATCTAACTCACTCAAACATGCTTGCTGAAAGTCCAAGCCCTTTGCCCACAAAACCTCCTTTACCCCCTCCCTCCAACCTTTTCGAGGACAACCCCTACCCTACTTTCCTTCCCCAATAGATTTATATACTCTCCAAGTCATTCTACTTTGTTCTATTCTCTCTAAATGACCAAACCACCTCAACAGCCCCTCTTTAGCCCTCTGACTAATACTTTTAGTAACTCCACACCTCCTCCTAATTTCCACACTACAGATTCTCTGCATAATATTTACGCCACATAATATTTACACCCTTAGACACGACATCTCCACTGTCTCCAGCCACCTCCTCGCTGCAACATTTACAACTCATGCTTCACACCCATATAAGAGTGTTGGTACCACTATACTCTCGTACATTCCCTTCTTTGCCTCCATGGCTGACGTACTTTGTCTTCACAGATACCTCAACGCACCACTCACCTTTTTTCCCTTATCAATTCTATGGTTTACCTCATCCTTCATAAACCCATCTATTGACAAGTCAACTCCCAGTTATCTGAAAACATTCACCCTCCAATGTTATATCCAGTTTTTCTTTAAATTGTTTGATACCCTCATCCCCTTACTCTTATCTATATTCACTTTCAACTTTCTACCTTTACACAACCTCCCAAACTTGTCCACTAACCTTTGCAACTTTTCTTTAGAATCCCCCAAAAGCACAGTATCATCAGCAAAAAGTAACTGTGTTAACTTCCATTTTGTATTTGATTACCCATAATTTAATCCCACCCCTCTTCCCAACACCCTAGCATTTATTTCTTTTACAACCCCATCTATAAATATGTTAAACAACCATGGTGACATTACTCATCCCTGTCTAAGACCTACTTTTACAGGGAAGTAATCTCCCTCTCTTCTACACACCCTAACCTGAGCCTCACTGTCCTCATAAAAACTCTTTACATCATTTAGTAACTTACTACCTATTCCATACACTTGCAACATCTGCCACTTTGCTCCCCTATTCAATCTATCATATCTTCTTCTTCTTTCAACAAACCAGCCGTATCTCACCAAGGCAGGGTGGCCCAAAAAGAAAAACAAAAGTTTTTCTTTTTAAATTTAGTAATTTGTACAAGAGAAGGGGTTACTAGCCCCTTGCTCCCTGCATTTTAGTCGCCTCTTACGGCATGCATGGCTTACTGAGGGAGAATTCTGTTCCACTTCCCCATGGAGAGAAGAGGAAATAAACAAGAACAAGAACTAGAAAGAAAATAGAAGAAAACCCAGAGGGGTATGTATATATATGCTTGTACATGTATGTGTAGTGTGACCTAAGTGTAAGTAGAAGTAGCAAGATGTACCTGTAATCTTGCATATTTTGAGACAGACAAAAGACACCAGCAATCCTACCATCATGTAAAACAATTACAGGCTTTTGTTTTACACTCACTTGGCAGGACAGTAGTACCTACCTGGGTGGTTGCTGTCTACCAACCTACTACCTATAACCAACCTACTACCTATAACCAACCTACTACCTATATTTCATACATTTATTAAATAAAAGTACCTGCCACTCCAACACTATATCATACCCTGCTTTTAACAATTCTGTCATGATCCCATCAGTTCTAGCTACTTTATCCCCTTTCATTCTACGTAATGCCTCACACACCTACCCCACACTCACATCCTGCTCTTTTTCACTCTTAAAAGATGTTATACCTCCCTGGCCAGTGAATGAAATTACTGCCTCCCTTTCTTCATCGACATTTAAAAGTTCCTCAAAATATTCTCGCCATCTACCCAATACCTCCAGTTCCCTATCTACTAACTCCCCTACTCTGTTTTTAACTGACAAATCCAATCGTTTCCTAGGCTTTCTTAACTTGTTTATCTCAACCCAAAATTTTTTGTTATTCTCGGCAAAATTTCTTGACAGTGCCTCTCCCACTCGATCATTTGGCTCTCCTTTTGCACTCTCTCCCCACTCACATCACCTTTCTTTTACTCTCCATATACTCTGCCCTTCTTATATCACTTCTGCTTTGTATAAACCTCTCATAAGCTACTTTTTTCTCTTTTATCACACCCTTTACTTCATTCCACCAGTCACTCCTCTTTCCTCCTGCACCCACCCTCCTATAGCCACAGACTTCTGCCCCACATTCTAATACTGCATTTTTTAAACTTTCACATCCCTCTTCAACCCCCCACTACCCATACTTGCACTAGCCCACCTTTCTGCCAGTAGTTGCTTATATCTCACCCTAACTTCCTCCTCTTTTAGTTTATAAACTTTCACCTCGCTCTTACTTACTGTTGCCATTTTCCTTTTGTCCCATCTGCTTCTTACTCTAACTGTAGCTACAACTAGATAATGAGCAGATTTATCCATTGCCCCTCTGTAAACATGTACATCCTGCAACCTACCCATCAACTTTTTATCCACCTATACATAATCTAACAAACTACTTTCATTATGTGCTATGTCATATCTTGTACACCTACCATCCGACTTACGACCGAGTTCGGTTCCGAGAAACCGGTCGTAAGTCGAAATGGTCGTAAGTCGAACTTTACTACTGAATATCAACAAAACATTTTTGTAATGACTTTATTTTATTGTTTTATTTTGGTATTTCGTTTTACTTTACTTTTTATGTTGTTAGTGCTGTATTTTATACTGTAAGGTTTAGGATAAACAATGTGTACAAACACAAATAGTTGTTTATTTCCCAGAAATTTGGCATAAAAAACACGGTCGTAATTCGAGTGGTCGTAAGTCGAGCAGGTCGTAAGTCGGATGGTAGGTGTATACTTATTTATCCTCTTTTTCATGAAATATGTATTGTTTATTACCAAACCTCTTTTTACACATAGTTCTGTTAAAGGCTCCCCATTTTCATTTACCCTGGCTCTCCAAATTTACCTACTACTTCTTATACAACATTTTTTATCCACTTTAGCATTGAGATCTCCAACCACACATACTCTCTCACTTGGTTCAAAACTCCATGCACTTACTCAGCATTTCCTAAAATCTCTCTCCTCTAAATTTCTCTCTTCTCCAGGTGCATAAACACTTACTATAACCCACTTTTCACATACAACCCTTATTTTACACCACATAATCCTTGAATTTATACATTTATATTCCTTCTTTTCCTGCCATAACTTATCTTTCAACATTTTTGCTACTCCTTCCTTAGCTCTAACTCTGTTAGAAACCCTTGACCTAATCCCATTTATTTCTCCCCACTAAAACTCTCCTACCCCCTTGAGCTTTGTTTCACTTAGAGGCAGGACATCCAGCTTCTTTTCATTCATAACATCCACAATCATCTCTCTCTTATAATTTGCACTACAATCACACACATTCAAACATCCCACTTTGATGGTTTTCTTCTTTTTCTTTTAAGTAGGCTATATGGGAAAAGGAGTTACTAGCCCATTGCTCCTGGCATTTTAGTTGACTTTTACAATACACATGGCTTATGGAGGAAAGATTCTTATTCCACTTCCCCATGGATGTGAAAGGAAAAGTAATAAGAACAAGAACTAATAAGATAAAATCAAAGAAAACTCAGATGAGTGAGTATACATAAACGTGTACATACATGTGTAGTGTGACCTATGTGTAAGTAGAAGTAGCAAGACGTACCTGAAATCTTGCATGTTTATGAGACAGAAAAAAGACACCAGTAATCCTACCATCACGTAAAACAAATACAGGCTTCCGTTTTACACTCACTTGGCAGTACGGTAGTACCTCCCTGGGCAGTTGCTGTCTACCAACCTACTATTAATTATTATTATTATTATTATTATTATTATTATTATTTTTTAACAAGTCGGCAGTCTCCCACTGAGGCAGGGTGACCCAAAAAGAAAGAAAATCCCCAAAAAGAAAATACTTTCATCATCATTCAACACTTTCACCTCACACATAATCACTGTTTTTGCAGAGGTGCTCAGAATACAACAGTTTGGAAGCATATACGTATAAAGATACACAACATATCCCTCCAAACTGCCAGTATCCCAAACCTCTCCTTTAAAGTGCAGGTATTGTACTTCCCATTTCCGGGACTCAAGTCCAGCTATATAAAAATAACCGGTTTCCCTGAATCCCTTCACTAAATATTACCCTGCTGATAAGATAGTGGAGATTAAGGGGCTAATTTAAAAGGGCAGTAATTTTTCAACTTTGCTGACAGGTTGCTTATATTGTAAATAAATACTCTTCATTTTCCAGGGTTTTGGGTTAGCTTGGATTAATAATAAATTATTCAAGCAATACTGTTTTTTGTGTTGGGAAGAGATGGAAATCTGCATAATGCCTGCACATAAAGTCATAAAATGAATGTACCTATATCCTAATCAGCAATATTATGTGGCTCATGTATGACTTGAAATTACAATATTTTTTGTTATATTGTTAAAAGTTAGATTTTTTTTTTCTAAATGCAGGTGTCCTGGAATATTAGAGAAAAACATTAATATTGTTTTGTTAGGTAAGGAGATTAGACATATTGCAGTAACTAGCATCTCTTTGAATAAGCAAGGAGAAATGGTAGCTCACTAGAGACAGGTTCCTCTTGGTAATGAGAGCAGTTGGGATAACAACCCATAGAAGCTCAAAGCTCACTGTTCATGCTGTTTACAAAATATTCCATCTGGCAGTGCCAGCAAAGATAGAGGTCTTCCCCAATGGACCATGGGTAAAGTCTTTGTGCTAGACCTGTTTGTGAGACTTTTTCTGTTTTTTACTCTATGTAGGTGGCCACCAAATTACAGTTGCAGTTAGGAGTGGGCCAAAAGCCCACACTAAGGTAATTAACAACCAGGGTTTCTGAGTAATCATCCCTGGAATGTTAGGCCAGAAGCTAGTAATCTTTCTTTGTACATAAATGTTAGTTAAGTAAACTCAGTGAATACATGGACCCCTAAAGTGTACACTGGGATTACTAAATTTTTATTAACTACTTACAGGAATCATTTCCCCTGTACACGTGGCATCTAGTAAAGTGAGAGTCATTAGAAGTTCGTAACCTGGTAGATTCAGGGGATTTCTAGCTAGGGTAGACTCGCTCCACAGCAAATAAGTCTGTTCTAGTCTGTGCATGGAAAGTGGCAGGAATTTCCTGTTAGGCAGTTAACTTTGTAAAAGAGTGTTCCCATAGGGTTAGTTGTGAGAAAAGAACAAAGGAGTCTTGTGTTATCTGTCATTGCCAGAGTAGGTATCTCGCAAGTTCCTACAGGTTCCTTGAGGCAAACTGTTCCCACAGTATGTACCTAGTGTGGCAGAGGAATTTTTGTTGATTTGCACACCAGTGTCCCAGGCCTACTTTATCCCATGTAGGCCTAACATTCCCAATTGCAGCTATTTTTAGGGAGCGAGCTAGGATTTATACATTGGTCTATGTATGTGGTAGTATATGCACACCCATTGATCAGCATGTGGCAGTTTAAGGGTTACTTATTGTATTAATTTTGTTTTTCCACAGGAAAATGACCCAGCAGACTTGGATTTAACATTCAGTGTTGATGAAGAATCTTTTGGAAGAACGTCTTCACATAATCTGAAAGAAAATGGGGGAGACATTCCAGTCACAAATGAAAATAAGAATGAATATATTGAGTGAGTTTTATTTTCTTTTATAACAGTACACTCTACTGATACAGCTGCATCTATGGAACACACAAAAAAAAAAAAGTCTGCCTACTTGCATACAAAACTGGGGTGCACAACTGTAGTATCATGTCAGCACTTACAAAAGTTTAGATATTATTATTATTATTATTATTATTATTATTATTATTATTATTATTATTATTATTATTATTATTCTTCTTCTTCTTCTTCTTCTTCTTCTTCTTCTTCTTCTTCTTCTTCTTCTTCTTCTTCTTCTTCTTCTTCTTCTTCTTCTTCTTCTTCTTCTTCTTCTTCTTCTTCTTCTTCTTCTTCTTCTTCTTCTTCTTCTTCTTCTTCTTCTTCTTCTTCTTCTTCTTCTTCTTCTTCTTCTTCTTCTTCTTCTTCTTCTTCTTCTTCTTCTTCTTCTTCTTCTTCTTCTTCTTCTTCTTCGAGCACTAAACTCATAGGAGCCATACAGCACCTAGGGAAAATGGAAAGCATTCAGACTATTCACAGAACTGGAGGATGGGTCAAAGTCCTTGTATCAAGGAACCTTGAAGTTGAAAAATGTAGATAAAGCAAAAAAAAAAAAAAAAAAAATATCAAGACCACTACAAAAATGGCTTCCAGAGTCACATATCTATCTTTGTCTTTTATGGTTTATTCTTGTACTGCTATATTATGGCAGAACTTACATAACTGAACAGTATTCTTGCAAAGTTCTTGCTATTTTTTATGCTTGTCACAAGTCTTCAGAGTTGATCCAGAGCTAGCTAACTAATTATGTATTGTTTTTGACAATTATTAGCTTATACTACAGACCATCTGTTAGAGATGTTCTTTAGCAAACCAAGTTATTCAACAGATCCTGTACTTATCTCAGTGAAAGTCATTAAGATAATCTTACAATGAAGTGCAATTTCAAGCTTTTCCCCACTTATATTTTTTCACATAATAGTGTGTGTGATAGATCACTAAGTAAATATTTTTGCTTACAGATTAGTAATTAACTGGCGCTTCGTTCATCGTATCCATAATCAAATGGAAGCCTTCCGGGATGGTTTCAACGACGTGGTACCAGTGTCTCATATTAAGATTTTTGATGAGGTGAGTTTTAAATTTGTTTAAACCTTTCTGTAGTATGACCAGTATTTATCAATATGCAAAACATTGTGCAAGTGAAGTGAAATAAACAGTCCCAATTGCCTGTTATATGGAAGAACAAGAGCAGTTAAGCAACAGAGTCTTAAAGGAAATAATCCAATCCCATTTCTGTTTTTGTAGTATGATCTTACAATTGTACCAAAATAAAGATTCTGATATACAGTACCTTACATTTTTTTTATCATGACAGAATGAGCTAGAGCTGCTTATGTGTGGCATTGTTTCAATTGATGTCAAGGATTGGCGAGCCAATACAGTCTACAAGGGAGAGTACCATCCTAACCATATAGTAATTCAGTGGTTCTGGCGGGTATGTACATAGGAATGTATCATTTTGTGCTTTGCTTTTTTATATTTTCTGGTGTGACTGTTTACTTTACTACTTCAGTGCAATACTGAATTTCATAGATTTGTAATAGACTCTCCTCACTTAATGACGGAGCTTCGTTCCTAAGACCACGTCATTAAATGAATTTGTTACTAAGTGAGGAGCATGGTAGTGGGTTTGTGTCAACTATCTTTGATACTGTTTCAATGTCACCTTTGCACCATTTATAACATTTCTGGTATACAGTGGTACCTCGAGTTTCGAACAGCTCCCAACTCGAACAATTATGTAAGTGTATTTTTGTAAGTGCTTTTATAAGTGTATTTTTGGGGGGGTCTAAAATGGACTAATCTAATTTACGTTGTTCCTTATGCCATAAGGAATTTGTTCCCATAAGGCTTATGGGAACAAATTCGTTCAGTATCAGCACTTGAACAGCCTTCTGGAATGAATTAAGTTCGTAACTTGAGGTACCACTTTATTTTTAAGTGTTTATACAGTAGTGTACTGTATATTGAAATAAACAGAATAGAGGAAATCAGCTTTAATATATGTACATTATTTAAGTATACATACTAGTCTGAGTACATCGCTAAGTGAGGAGAGGCTGTATAGTAACATTAAATGTTCAGGGAAACTGTTTGGCAAGACTTAGAGTTCCTAGGTGGGATGTACAGGGCAAGGGTTTGGGAGGCTGGGTGGTGATGTTGCAGCTTCAAAGATCATTTGAATTATGATGTTCATTCACTTCTGGCAAGTTAATATAATAATAATAATAATAATAATAATCCTAGGTAGTAGGTTGGTAGACAGCAACTGCCCAGGGAGGTACTAGCATCCTGCTAAGTGAGTGTAAAATGAAAGCCTGTAATTGTTTTACGTGATGGTAGGATTGCTGGTGTCCTTTTTTCTGTCTCATGAACATGCAAGATTTCAGGTACGTCTTGCTACTTCTACTTACACTTAGGTCACACTACACATACATGTACAAGCACATATATACACACCCCTCTGGGTTTTCTTCTATTTTCTTTCTAGTTCTTATTCTTGTTTATTTCCTCTTATCTCCATGGGGAAGTGGAACAGAATTCTTCCTCCGTAAGCCATGCGTGTTGTAAGAGGCAACTAAAATGCCGGGAGCAAGGGGCTAGTAACCTCTTCTCCTGTATATATTACTAAATGTAAAAGGAGAAACTTTCGTTTTTCCTTTTGGGCCACCCCGCCTCGGTGGGATACGGCCGGTGTGTTGAAAGAAGAAGAATAATAATAATAATCCTAGGTAGTAGGTTGGTAGACAGCAACTGCCCAGGGAGGTACTAGCATCCTGCTAAGTGAGTGTAAAATGAAAGCCTGTAATTGTTTTACGTGATGGTAGGATTGCTGGTGTCCTTTTTTCTGTCTCATGAACATGCAAGATTTCAGGTACGTCTTGCTACTTTACTTACACTTAGGTCACACTACACATACATGTACAAGCATATATATACACACACCCCTCTGAGTTTTCTTCTATTTTCTTTCTAGTTCTTATTCTTGTTTATTTCCCTTTATCTCCATGGGGAAGTGGAACAGAATTCTTCCTCCTTAAGCCATGCTTGTTGTAAGAGGTGACTAAAATGCTGGGAGCAAGGGGCTAGTAACCCCTTCTTCTGTATAGATTACTAAATTTAAAAAGAGAAACTTTTGTTTTTCTTTTTGGGCCACCCTGCCTTGGTGGGATACGGCCAGTTTGTTGAAAAAAAAAAAATAATAATTTTATTTCAGCATGATACATGTTTATACAATGGAGTATAACAATTGAGTGCACATGCCAAAAGCCCCTTCATATGCAGAGCATTTCAGGCAAACTTAAGATTAATAAGGCAATAACAGTGCAGATATTTTGTACATATGGTCATTAGGTGAGTTACAATGAATACAAGAGAATTGAATATTCTATTAGTTCTTGCTATATGGCTTAAAGTTTGGTAGAGAAGAATTACGGTTTTGATTATTAACCTAAGGTGGACACAGTGGAATCATTAACATTTGAGAGGATTACAGATATTGAGAGTAAGTATATATATATATATATATTTTTTTTTTCTCAACAAGTCGGCCGTCTCCCACCGAGGCAGGGTGACCCAAAGAGAAAGAAAATCCCCAAAAAGAAAATACTTTCATCATTCAACACTTTCACCTCACTCACATATAATCACTGTTTTTGCAGAGGTGCCCAGAAATACAATAGTTTAGAAGTATATATGTATAAAAATACACAATAGTATATATCTCCAAACTGCCAGTATCCCAAACCCCTCCTTTAGAGTGCAGGCATTGTACTTCCCATTTCCAGGACTCAAGTCCGGTTATATAAAATAACCGGTTTCCCTGAATCCCTTCACTAAATATTACCCTGCTCACACTCCAACAGATCGTCAGGTCCCAAGTACCATTTGTCTCCATTCACTCCTATCTAACACGCTCACGCACGCTTGCTGTAAGTCCAAACCCCTCGCCCACAGCATCTCCTTTACCCCCTCCCTCCAACCTTTTCTAGGACGACCCCTACCCCGCCTTCCTTCCCCTACAGATTTATACGCTCTCCATGTCATTCTACTTTGATCCATTCTCTCTAAATGACCAAACCACCTCAACAAACGCTCTTCAGCCCTCTAACTAATAATTTTATTAACTCCACACCTTCTCCTAATTTCCACACTCCGAATTTTCTGCATAACATCACACATTGCCCTTAGACAGGACATCTCCACTGCCTCCAACTGCCTCCTCGCTGCAGCATTTACAACCCAAGCTTCACACCCATGTAAGAGTGTTGGTACTACAATACTTTCATACATTCCCTTCTTTGCCTCCATAGATAACATTTTTTGCCTCCACATATACCTCAATGCACCACTCACCTTTTTTCCTTCATCAATTCTATGATTAACCTCATCCTTCATGAATCCATCTGCTGACATGTCAACTCCCAAATATCTGAAAACATTCACTTCTTCCATACTCCTCCTCCCGAATTTGATATCCAATTTTTCTTTATCTAAATCATTTGATACTCTCATCACCTTACTCTTTTCTATGTTCACTTTCAACTTTCTACCTTTACACACATTCCCAAATTCGTCCACTAACCTTTGCAATTTTTCTTTAGAATCTTCCATAAGCACAGTATCATCAGCAAAAAGTAACTGTGTCACTTCCCATTTTGTATTTAATTCCCCATAATTTAATCCCACCCCTCTCCTGAACACCCTAGCATTTACTTCTTTTACAACCCCATCTATAAATATGTATATTAAACAACCATGGTGACATTACACCTCCCTGTCTAAGACCTACTTTTACTGGGAAGTAGTCTCCCTCTCTTCTACACACCCTAACCTGAGCCTCACTATCCTCATAAAAACTCTTTACAGCATTTAGTAACTTACTACCTATTCCATACACTTGCAACATCTGCCACATTGCTCCCTTATACACTCTATCATATGCCTTTTCTAAATCCATAAATGCAATAAAAACTTCCCCACCTTTATCTAAATACTGCTCACATATATGCTTCAATGTAAATATTTGTTCTACACATCCCCTACCCACTCTAAAACCTCCTTGCTCATCCGCACTTCTACATTCTGTCTTACCTCTAATTCTTTCAGTTATGACCCTACCGTACACTTTTCCTGGTATACTCAGTAAACTTATTCTTCTATAATTTTTACAATCTCTTTTGTCCCCTTTCCCTTTATATAAAGGGACTATACACGCTCTCTGCCAATTCCTAGGTACCTTCCCCTCTTTCATACATTTATTAAACAAAAATACCAACCACTCCAACACTATGTCCCCCCCCCCCCTGCTTTTAACATTTCTGTCATGATCTCATCAGTTCCAGCTGCTTTACCCCCTTTCATTCTACGTAATGCCTCATGCACCTCCCCCACACTAACATCCTGCTCTTCTTTACTCCTAAAAGATGATATACCTCCCTGGCCAGTGCATGAAATTACCGCCTCCCTTTCTTCGTCGACATTTAAAAGTTCCTCAAAATATTTTCGCCATCTACCCAAAACCTCCATCTCCCCATCTACTAACTCCCCTTCTCTGTTTTTAACTGATAAATCCATTTGTTCCCTAGGCTTTCTTAACTTGTTTAACTCCAAAAATTTTTCTTATTTTCATTAAAATTCCTTGACAGTACCTCTCCCACTCTATCATCTGCTCTCCTTTTGCACTCTCTCACCACTCTCTTCACCTTTCTTTTACTCTCCATATACTCTACTCTTCTTATAACACTTGTGCTTTGTAAATACCTCTCTTAATCTAACTTTTTCTCTTTTATCACACCCTTTACTTCATTCCACCAATCACTCCTCTTTCCTCCTGCACCCACCCTCCTATAACCACAAACTTCTGCCCCACATTCTAATACTGCATTTTTAAAACTATTCCAACCCTCTTCAACCCCCCCCTTCCCTACTCATACCTGCACCAGCCCACCTTTCTGCCAATAGTTGCTTATATTTCACCCGAACTTCCTCCTCCCTTAGTTTATACACTTTCACCTCCCTCTTACTTGTTGTTGCCATTTTCCTCTTATCCCATCTACCTCTTTCTCTAACTGTAGCTACAACTAGATAATGATCCGATATATCAGTTGCCCCTCTATAAACGTGTACATCCTGGAGCCTACCCATCAACCTTTTATCCACCAATACATAATCTAACAAACTACTTTCATTACGTGCTACATCATACCTTGTATATTTATTTATCCTCTTTTTCATAAAATGTGTATTACTTATTACCAAACTTCTTTCTACACATAGCTCAATTAAAGGCTCCCCATTTTCATTTACCCCTGGCACCCCAAATTTACCTACTACTCCTTCCTCAGCATTTTTTTCCCATGTTAGCATTAAAATCCCCAACCACAAGTACTCTCACACTTGGTTCAAAACTCCCCATGCAATTACTCAACATTTCCCAAAATCTCTCTCTCTATACTTCTCTCTTCTCCAGGTGCATAATCCCCTCAAGGAAGGTTCCTTGATGTTGGTGAGGGGCTCTTGATTTAGGGAATTGGATCTGTGCTCCAGTTCCCCGAATTAAGCCTGAATGCCTTCCACATCCCCCCCAGGCGCTGTATAATCCTCCGGGTTTAGCGCTTCCCCCTTGATTTTAATAATAATAATAATAATCCAGGTGCATAAATGCTTACTATAACCCACTTCTCACATCCAACCTTTATTTTACTGCTCATAATCCTTGAATTAATACGTTTATAGGTAGTAGGTTGGTAGACAGCAACCACCCAGGGAAGTACTACCGTCCTGCCAGATGGCTGTGAAACAAAAACCTGTAACTGTTTTGCATGATGGTAGGATTGCTGGTTTCTTTTTCTGTCTCATAAACACGCTAGATAACAGGGATATCTTGCTACTCTTACTTACACTTTGGTCACACTTCACAGACACGCACATGCATATATATATACATACATCTAGGTTTTTCTCCTTTTTCTAAATAGCTCTTGTTCTTCTTTATTTCTTCTATTGTCCATGGGGAAGTGGAAAAGAATCTTTCCTCCGTAAGCCATGCGTGTCGTATGAGGCGACTAAAATGCCGGGAGCAATGGGCTAGTAACCCCTTCTCCTGTAGACATTTACTAAAAAAGAGAAGAAGAAAAACTTTATAAAACTGGGATGCTTAAATGTGCATGGATGTAGTGCAGATGACAAGAAACAGGTGATTGCTGATGTTATGAATGAAAAGAAGTTGGATGTCTTGGCCCTAAGCGAAACAAAGCTGAAGGGGGTAGGAGAGTTTCAGTGGGGGGAAATAAATGGGATTAAATCTGGAGTATCTGAGAAAGTTAGAGCAAAGGAAGGGGTAGCAGTAATGTTAAATGATCAGTTATGGAAGGAGAAAAGAGAATATGAATGTGTAAATTCAAGAATTATGTGGATTAAAGTAAAGGTTGGATGCGAGAAGTGGGTCATAATAAGCGTGTATGCACCTGGAGAAGAGAGGAATGCAGAGGAGAGAGAGAGATTTTGGGAGATGTTAAGTGAATGTATAGGAGCCTTTGAACCAAGTGAGAGAGTAATTGTGGTAGGGGACCTGAATGCTAAAGTAGGAGAAACTTTTAGAGAGGGTGTGGTAGGTAAGTTTGGGGTGCCAGGTGTAAATGATAATGGGAGCCCTTTGATTGAACTTTGTATAGAAAGGGGTTTAGTTATAGGTAATACATATTTTAAGAAAAAGAGGATAAATAAGTATACAAGATATGATGTAGGGCGAAATGACAGTAGTTTGTTGGATTATGTATTGGTAGATAAAAGACTGTTGAGTAGACTTCAGGATGTACATGTTTATAGAGGGGCCACAGATATATCAGATCACTTTCTAGTTGTAGCTACACTGAGAGTAAAAGGTAGATGGGATACAAGGAGAATAGAAGCATCAGGGAAGAGAGAGGTGAAGGTTTATAAACTAAAAGAGGAGGCAGTTAGGGTAAGATATAAACAGCTATTGGAGGATAGATGGGCTAATGAGAGCATAGGCAATGGGGTCGAAGAGGTATGGGGTAGGTTTAAAAATGTAGTGTTAGAGTGTTCAGCAGAAGTTTGTGGTTACAGGAAAGTGGGTGCAGGAGGGAAGAGGAGCGATTGGTGGAATGATGATGTAAAGAGAGTAGTAAGGGAGAAAAAGTTAGCATATGAGAAGTTTTTACAAAGTAGAAGTGATGCAAGGAGGGAAGAGTATATGGAGAAAAAGAGAGAGGTTAAGAGAGTGGTGAAGCAATGTAAAAAGAGAGCAAATGAGAGAGTGGGTGAGATGTTATCAACAAATTTTGTTGAAAATAAGAAAAAGTTTTGGAGTGAGATTAACAAGTTAAGAAAGCCTAGAGAACAAATGGATTTGTCAGTTAAAAATAGGAGAGGAGAGTTATTAAATGGAGAGTTAGAGGTATTGGGAAGATGGAGGGAATATTTTGAGGAATTGTTAAATGTTGATGAAGATAGGGAAGCTGTGATTTCGTGTATAGGGCAAGGAGGAATAACATCTTATAGGAGTGAGGAAGAGCCAGTTGTGAGTGTGGAGGAAGTTCGTGAGGCAGTAGGTAAAATGAAAGGGGTAAGGCAGCCGGGATTGATGGGATAAAGATAGAAATGTTAAAAGCAGGTGGGGATATAGTTTTGGAGTGGTTGGTGCAATTATTTAATAAATGTATGGAAGAGGGTAAGGTACCTAGGGATTGGCAGAGAGCATGCATAGTTCCTTTGTATAAAGGCAAAGGGGATAAAAGAGAGTGCAAAAATTATAGGGGGATAAGTCTGTTGAGTATACCTGGTAAAGTGTATGGTAGAGTTATAATTGAAAGAATTAAGAGTATGACGGAGAATAGGATAGCAGATGAACAAGGAGGCTTTAGGAAAGGTAGGGGGTGTGTGGACCAGGTGTTTACAGTGAAACATATAAGTGAACAGTATTTAGATAAGGCTAAAGAGGTCTTTGTGGCATTTATGGATTTGGAAAAGGCATATGACAGGGTGGATAGGGGGGCAATGTGGCAGATGTTGCAAGTGTATGGTGTAGGAGGTAGGTTACTGAAAGCAGTGAAGAGTTTTACGAGGATAGTGAGGCTCAAGTTAGAGTATGTAGGAAAGAGGGAAATTTTTTCCCAGTAAAAGTAGGCCTTAGACAAGGATGTGTGATGTCACTGTGGTTGTTTAATATATTTATAGATGGGGTTGTAAGAGAAGTAAATGCGAGGGTCTTGGCAAGAGGCGTGGAGTTAAAAGATAAAGAATCACACACAAAGTGGGAGTTGTCACAGCTGCTCTTTGCTGATGACACTGTGCTCTTGGGAGATTCTGAAGAGAAGTTGCAGAGATTGGTGGATGAATTTGGTAGGGTGTGCAAAAGAAGAAAATTAAAGGTGAATACAGGAAAGAGTAAGGTTATGAGGATAAAAAGATTAGGTGATGAAAGATTGGATATCAGATTGGAGGGAGAGAGTATGGAGGAGGTGAACGTATTCAGATATTTGGGAGTGGACGTGTCAGCGGATGGGTCTATGAAAGATGAGGTGAATCATAGAATTGATGAGGGAAAAAGAGTGAGTGGTGCACTTAGGAGTCTGTGGAGACAAAGAACTTTGTCCTTGGAGGCAGAGAGGGGAATGAATGAGAGTATAGTTTTACCAACGCTCTTATATGGGTGTGAAGCGTGGGTGTTGAATGTTGCAGCGAGGAGAAGGCTGGAGGCAGTGGAGATGTCATGTCTGAGGGCAATGTGTGGTGTGAATATAATGCAGAGAATTCGTAGTTTGGAAGTTAGGAGGAGGTGCGGGATTACCAAAACTGTTGTCCAGAGGGCTGAGGAAGGGTTGTTGAGGTGGTTCGGACATGTAGAGAGAATGGAGCGAAACAGAATGACTTCAAGAGTGTATCAGTCTGTAGTGGAAGGAAGGCGGCGTAGGGGTCGGCCTAGGAAAGGTTGGAGGGAGGGGGTAAAGGAGGTTTTGTGTGCGAGGGGCTTGGACTTCCAGCAGGCATGCATGAGCGTGTTTGATAGGAGTGAATGGAGACAAATGGTTTTTAATACTTGACGTGCTGTTGGAGTGTGAGCAAAGTAACATTTATGAAGGGATTCAGGGAAACCGGCAGGCTGGACTTGAGTCCTGGAGATGGGAAGTACAGTGCCTGCACTCTGAAGGAGGGGTGTTAATGTTGCAGTTTAAAAACTAGTGTAAAGCACCCTTCTGGTAAGACAGTGATGGAGTGAATGATGGTGAAAGTTTTTCTTTTTCGGGCCACCCTGCCTTGGTGGGAATCGGCCAGTGTGATAATAAAATAAATAATAATAGTCCTTCTTTTCCTGCTATAGCTTATCCTTCAACATTATTGCTACTCCTTCTTTAGCTATAACTCTGTTAGAAACCCCTGACCTAATCCCATTTATTCCTCTCCACTGAAACTCACCCACCCCCTTCAGCTTTGTTTCACTTAAAGCCAGGATATCCAGCCTCTTCTCATTCATAACATCCACAAACATCTCTTTCTTATCATTCGCACAGCATGTTTTACCTATGTTCATGATATTGAGTGAATGCATGTATAGTTTTTACATATGTATTTATGATGGGCTGGGATAGGTTAAGGAGATAAGGTGTTTTCTAATTGTAGTTGGCTGTTGACCGAATGATGGTAAATGAGTTTCCATCTTTGGCCACTGTACCTTGGTGGAAAAAAACAGCTGATTCAGTAAGAATAATGTACATTTCTCAAGTCTATACAGTGAAACTTTGGTATAATGGACAAATAGGGGAGGGGGTGTCTGTTTAATCAAGACCCTATTGTATCAAAATGCCAATTCAGCAGACACAGTCCTATATGTAGCAAGCTTAACAGACACACACACTACTGAAATGGACAAAATTTTCATACAGTAGACTGCATCCAGTGCATTGAACATTTGTTCAGTCAAATATTTTGTCCATTATATCCAAAATCTGTTATGAAGGGATCTTTTATATTGAGGTTTTACTGTAATTCAATCTGGAGTAAATATGTCTTGAGAAACTTATTCACTTTGAATTCATTTGACAATAATTCAGTTTTACCCTCAAACCTTGTTTACAGGTAGTTCTGTCTTTTACAAATGAAATGAGAGCTCGTCTGCTACAGTTTGTTACTGGTACTTCGCGTGTTCCCATGAATGGGTTTAAGGAACTGTATGGCAGCAATGGACCACAGCTGTTTACTATAGAGATGTGGGGAGAAACCAAAAACTATCCTCGTTCTCATACATGGTAATTATTGTCTAGAAATTCAATGTTAAAAATATTGAATGTGCCCTTAAATTTAATAGTGTTAATTCAAACTTATCTTCAAAGTTTTCATGCAGTACAGTAGAAATATTATGATTGGAATTGTCATCGTTTATTGTGGCATTTAAAAGATTGTTTTCTTAGTAGTAGTATATTATCAAAAAGGTATTGAAGAGTATATACTAAATTATCATAATACTTCATTTGTATACATAGGTAATGAAAATTTTAATTTTCAGCTTTAATCGACTGGATTTGCCTCCATACCAGTCATATCATGAACTTCGTGAGAAGCTTATCAAGGCCATTGAGGGCACAGTGGGCTTTGCAGGAGTAGATTAAATGCATTTTGAGACTGCTTAAATAATGGTTATTGAGAGAATAAGCAATTAGGAGAATTAGAAGAAAGTGGAAGAACATAAGGAAAAATGTAAATCTTTTGACATGTATGAAATTCAGTGTTACAACAAAGGGAATAGGTGAATTTCCCATGTAAAGCTTTTTTCTTCAACTAAATTGATTCCCTTCAACTCTAGGATAAGATCAGTGGAACAATAAATGAATTATTTAGCTTGATGCAAGAACATTTACAAGAATGTCATGAGAGGACAATAATTTTTCTGTTGGCATACCCAGAATTCTCATTTCAGGTCTTGATAAAATCTTAACATCTTCAAGATTAATCTACTTCTGTCTCTTGTTATATGGTAGTTAGGTATTTTTCCTTGTTTATTACAAGGTTAGTGATCCATATTATAGCATCTTTCTGAGAATTGAATATTAATAATGTACCTATATTATAGCTTTTCATTGACCTCTGAATATCAGTAAGTCAATATTTTATAAACATTGTTTGTTATTAAGATAAAGAACTTTACATATTGTGATATAAATGTCATATTTAGATGTTGGGAGCATGGCTATATAAGCTTGTATTTGTCCTACAGTATAGTATAGTTTTGTTCAAATGTGTTGATTTTTATGTGATTAGTTGTGCATGTGTGAATGTATATACACTTGGATGTATGCATGCATTGGTTGCATGTGCAATTTTGGGTGTATGTATGGGTACAAATGTTTGTATATTAATTTGCATTTACAATGTACATGCAAGCATGGGTGCATGCCTAGTTGCATCCATTTGAGTGTGTATGTGTACATGTAGGTATATCTATGTGTACACATACCTTCAGTATTTGGGTATGTTTTATATGTGTGCATATGGAGTTGTGTTTATATACTGTATGCTCATGTGTACATACATCTCATTATTGGTGAAATACACACATGTTGCAAATATGAAATGTATGCATATAAAATTCCATGTGCACATGGCAGGAGTCCTCTATATGCAAAGCTTTGTTAAATTCTGTGAATCCTCAAGTTAATATGATTTTTTTTTATATACAGCATTTTCATTATAGGATTTGTAATTATCCATTGAAAAGTGGAGAGCCATGTTTGAAGCTTTACAAATGATCCTTAAATATACGGTAAAGATGTATGGTGTTATACAGTATTTGTGCTTTATTAAGGTAGAATTTTTGTTTTTGTTTTCCTTTCCATTCCTGTTCTTATTTTAAATTGTATATAATGACACAATTTGCATGTATACAGTCAAAAGGAAAGCATTACTGGCTGAGAGATGTGGACTGAGAATTCATATTATTCAAATCATAATTATTTTGCTGTATATACTCGAGTGTATGGCAGGTGGTCATCTCTTGTTGAGGTCGATCCCTGACTTTCCATAAATTCTTAATTTTCATGTCTTGTTGTATATGTTAACCCTACTTTTTGAGGGAGATTTGAAGTACTATACAGGGTACCATATGTTAATAAATTTAGAATGCCTTTCCCATGAATAGGATTTGCTTGTAGGTATGTACACATATAACTGTACAAAACATTATACAGTACTTAATAATAAAAGAAGTCTATCAGTCTAATGTTTCTCTTAATCAAACTTTAGCCTAACACACAGATATACAGAAAATTTTAAAATTAAGAGAGAACTTTGGAAACCAACTTCTTGATAATGGTTGAGTCAGTGTCTCTAGGTCTGATGTGCCACGAAGCTTGCTCCATTAAAAAAATCTAGTCTTACTATTCAATTCTAACAAACTGTTGTGTGATCAGCTTTATTTGTATATATCTAAGAAGGAATATTATTACAAATTTCTGTTTGCCCTTGATGCACCCAAGCAGTAGGAATTTAGTGTGTAGTTGGCACACAATACATGAATTTCAGCCCTCTGAAGAAGTTTCATGAATAAATTGATTCAGTTCTTTTTCCTTTTAGTCTTAAACCCTTGGCCTATATTCGAGTATATACTGTTTTTTTTTTTTTTTTTTTTTTTTTTTTTTTTTTTTTTTTTTTTTTTATGATAGTTATCAAATGTAGTTGTAATTAGTTTTCTCATAGTTTGTGTGTTTCTTGTCATATTGTTATGGTCAAAATAATCAAACAGTTAAATAATGACCAGACAAATAGATATTCTTCTAAATAGTGAAAATTATGCTTTAAAGAATACTTATATATATATTGTAAAAAATATGCATCTTGACATTACCATGCCTTGTATTAACATATCTGACAATTTCTTCATCTTCAGTCCTAAAAAAAATAACATCTCAATTTGTCAGTAGGTGGATATGTTGAAGGAAAACTGACAACAGTTGTGCTTCCTGACAACATATCTTCCTTGCATATTGGCAGCTTCACAATCCTTATGTATGAGATTTTCTGCTAAGGCTAGTCCCACTTCCAAACCATAGAATTTTGATAGATTAGTTAAAAGATTTCTTTTTTTGAATAAATCTCAAAAACTTCCTTATAAATGTGGAATTTCATTCTAACAAATTATTTCTCTTCTTTATCCACTCATTAGAAAGGATCAAAATCTTTGTTTTATTTTTTTTTTTGTTAGGAATAAAAACCAGTGTACCTAGAGAGAAAAAAGGTACGAAAATACTTAGGGTAATTTCATCACTTGTAATTGATGGTTGGAGGGGATCAAGCAGACATTGTTGTTATTGTACAGTATACATTATATCACTCATCTTGTTTTCAACTTATCTTTATCTTTCTGGCACTGTTAATGTTCTTTAAATAAATATATGATATACTTAAACTATTTCCAATAGTTGAACTTATAATTTTATTAAATTTTATTTTTTAAACATACCCTGATGACTTGTTAAACTAAAGTTATGAAATTTAAGTACTGTATATGGAATAGTCCAACACTTAAATCATTGTAACTATTTATCACAGCCTGTGGAATTAATTGAAACATGAACTTATTACATGCTGTATTGCATTTAATATACTGTATAATTAAAATTTCTCAACCAATAACAAAGGAAACTTGTTTTACTCACTTCTTTATTTGTAATCCTCTCTTTTAATCAACTGCTTATTCTTTCTCTCACTATTCCTCAAGCACGTGTGTATGCACACTTACTCTCACCCTGTTCATTACTTGTCCAAAAATGCATAATTAGTTATCACTAAACTTTTGCATGCTTGTGCATCTTCATTAGTGTACAAAGTAGTTTATCCAAAATGAACATAAAATTTTCACAGTCATTTTTGGTTGCTCTGCTGTGGATGATCAAAGGGATACTCTATGGCACTTGCTCCAGTGGTATATCACTGGGTCATGGACTGACTTGAGAGGTTTTGATGGTATCTGTGTTGACTTTAGAATACTTTTCTACAGGGAAAGTTTAATACCTTGGTTTGCAAAATCAGATCATTTGATGTATTTTGTCTGGAGGAATATCGTTTTCTTTCACTTGCTATATCCTCCCAATTTTGTATATATTATTAGTGTGTTCATACACATTTATGTATAAAGGATTTTAATAGTTGTAATATTAGTTTGTAGTCGGGTGATTTAATGTTGGCACCTCGGAGTTGATTGTGGCTGGTTGTATCTATCCATAATGTTTGCAGTGCTCTTGAGTATAAATAAGAAACATTAAAGTTGGCCTTACTTTGTCATTAATGTTATATATTAATATAACCCATCTTGCATTAGAAAATACCGATCAGAGGCTCATTATTTAAGTGGATGCATCATATGGAATTTTAAGACATATACACATGCACCTGAAGGGAACCTATAGCTGTAAAATTTAAGGTTGGTTAGTTTTTCCTCAGTCTATACTATGAAAATATTTATTTTTCTTGTTCCAGCAGTTCATTTTCTATTAGATAATGTAGTTGTCTTTTTAATGGGCATTTATTAAGAGGATGCACTCATGTCAGATTTTAGTATAAAGGTTGGCACTGATCAAACACACTTCTTACTGTAGATAAAATGGAGAGAAGTTGTTTCCATAGTTGTGATGCTGAGGTTGATGTAAGTTATTACATAATACCTCTCAGATAGTACATTCCAAATGATTCTGTCCATATTTTAGCAGGGAAGTAATTAACACTTCTTTTCTTTTAATTTTAGCTTGAGATTTAATAACCAAATAAATTTATTAAGAGCTAGTTTCTGAAACAGTTCACTTAGATGGCCTTTGATTTATTTATATCACTATATTTTTGATAACTTGTTCTCTATGAGAACTTACCATCCTTGTTGGGGTGGCTACATGCATAATCTTTCCCAAACGTTTAAAAAATTATTTAATTTCTTGAGGGAAATCCTTGAAACATTTTATCAAAATATTGTATATGGCAATTTAGTTACAAATGTTATGCAGCTGCCGTTTGCTTACAGCAAGGAAAAAATGTGAGAGAATAGTGATTGCCCTCGACAAGTAAATTAGAAAAGAAGCTTGAAGACAAAGTACACTGGAAAAGGAAAGGAATAAGAATGGGACAAAGGTAGGAGAAAGAGTAGACCACAAAGGAGCATTACAGTGTAAATATAGCCAAAGAAAAGAACCATTGGTGAAGGAAGGGGTAGCCCTTATACTTACCTTACCACAGTGCTTCCTGGGATTTTATCAAATTATGTAGTTAAATTATGTGGAGTCAAAATGGTCAGTTTTCCTCAAAAATTAATGGCCTCATCATTATGCCATGGCACTCCACAGCAACAAATGCTCATCAAATGCTTTGAATCATAGTGCTGTACTTGATTGCTGTATAATTCATGTACAGTGTCACATTTTGTTATTTGTACCATTGTACATCCTGGAGATGGTTTCAGTCTTATTTTTTGTGATGGTATAGTAGTTATCAAGTTTATGCTACGAACTAATTAATGTTACTTTAATGTGCATTTTTAATAGTTAAGAGCAAAATTTATTGCTGTGCATACACTGACATGATTTCATCTTCAAAATGTGGTTATTCAAGTTATGAGAGTGGCCATAAATGTATTGAATCATTTTCTTACCTTCTGTTATGCAATTATCCCCTACTTATCTATAGTGAGAAATACAATACAGTGAGATATATACACTGTTTTATGTACTTTTTACATAACTAGTTCTTGGAAATTTTATAAAACATTATTAAATTATTTCAGTAAAAAAAATGACAATTTAAAATAGGCCACTATGTCAGCCAGTCTGTTCAAGAGGCATGTTATTATACAGCTGTGTTAGCTTTTATTGTGCAGTGAGAGGATTGAGTTGTAACGAATTGTGTTAGCTTTAGTCTGTATTATGTACTGAAATAGTGAACTAATTATTTGGAAGATTTTTTTATTAAAAATATGTATGTATGCTGGCAAAGAAAGCTCGATTTTCATAGGTTTATTCAGTGATGTTTATTATCAAATTAATGTTTTCCAATTTTTAAGTTTATATTTAATGTGAATAATATTTTTAATATTTGGTCTTGGGAAATCTGTATGATAAATATAAGAAGACTATGCCTAATACATCAGTTTCAATTCCTTGCCCAGTAACTGGATAATTATGAGGAGGACAGAAATGTCTGCCATTCACTAATATTGGCCAGAATGTTAATAAAGTTGTTACTAAGCTAAAATGTTATGTATGCCTGATTGTTTAAACTGAAGGGTTTATAGGACTAGAATGCAACAAAATACCCAATAGCCACCTATTTAGACCCATCAAGGAATGCTGATGAATGGCTTGAACTTGGAAATCGGAGCTACCCTCCCCTTCCTCGGATCACATCTAATTCATGCCCATTCCTCAGGTGATTCATAACCCCTCTGGGTTTAATACCTCCCATTTTCTAGTTTTTTATATAATAAAAAAAAACCTGGTTAGGTTGCTAATGAGCAATGAAAACCTAGTCAAGTCAAAGGTGTTAAATATGTAAATTGAAAATACTGAACTGCAGTACAGGTACCAAGTTATATTTTTTAAGCAGGTCTCTAAGATCAAATAATTTTCCTGTGTTTGGATTATTGACTGCCTTTCTCCTAACTAATTCAACAAAGGAATTCCACAAGAATGTATATTTATCCTCAATGTTTAATTTTCATTTGCACACTGATGACTCCAGTCCTTTTCTGGTATGGGTTACATAACATTTCCATCCTCCCTCCTGTCAATGTAGACTCAGTTATGTCATTTATTTTCTATGGAATTATAATCATAAAAAAGCACTAAACCCACAAGGGTCACACAGTCTATGGAATTATTATATTCACAAGGCCAAAACTATGACCCATAGTTTTGGCCTTTTTGTGAATATAATACAGTAAAGTGACTGTAATAATACATATTAGATATGTTATTTACCTGTCTCACTGGTAGGACCTCTCCAGGGGATTTCCCTTAATGCTAGTGAACTCTATCCAGGAAATGGGCCTTCTCTCTCATTCATTGGATTGAATCTAAATGCCTCTCATTTCTCCAGGTGCTGTATGGCCCTAATGGGTTTAGCACTCCTCAGTTGTCTGTTAATAATATAATAATAATGATGCAAGGAACCATACCTGTTGTACCCTTCCTTGGATCAAACACAATAGCTTCCTACTTTTACCAGAGGTGGTATGACCCCTATGTGTTTAGTGCTTCCCCTTGCATATTACAAGAACAGAAGGAAGGAACACTGCAACAGGCCTACTGGCCTATGCGAGGCAGGTCCAATTCTCCCACCGGCTTAAGCCAATGCCTTGACCTAGTGAGATCAGACACGTCACTTAAGGGAGGAGCACTAATACTACTATTACTACTACTATACTGCTACTTGGTTTAGTGCTTCTTTTTGATAATATACTGCTGCTGCAGCAGTAGTAGTAGTAGTACTACTACTACTACTACTCATCGACACCATGCCTAACCCTTCTAGGGTAGGGTAGGTGCCTGAGCCCGAGCCTTTAGCTCATAAGACTGTCATTCCCATTTGCCCCCTTGGGGCGGGGATGGCAGACCAGAAAGGCCTAGCTTGTGGCTAGGCCTGGGGACAGTTGGTCCCAAAGATGAGGAGGTACTTGTGCCTCCTCCCATGGGAGACTTCGGTCTCAGACACTCCCTCAAGAGGGAGCCAAGGCCGGGCCACCACTTGGAAAAGGCCCGGGCCGGGAGAATACCGGCTAATCTTTAATAATAATAATAATAATAATTACTACTACTACTACTACTACTACTACTACTACTACTACTACTACTACTACTACTAATACTACTGCTGCTACTGCTGCTGCTGCTGCTGCTACTACTAGTACTACTATTACTAATGTTTATGCTGCCATTACCATGGAGACAGTACGAACAGCAAGCAACAAAATTATCATGGGTGTGTGGTGGTCACCCCTGTACGTACATGATCGATGGCACAATGACTGCCTAATAGCCTTCCCCTTGTCATGCATACACACCCACCACCACCTGATAAATAATATCACACATTTATGAAGGCGCACCTGCTGCTTGATGGAGTGTCTTAATTAAAGTGCAGAGAATAGTGCGACGGTACATTAGTCTCCCAGTACCTGCCTCACGCAGTGACACTTTTTTAATGAAAGTGCAATATGAGGGCACAATGAATATGGTAATACAGTGAATATGGAAATAAAGTAATTAATATGGAGATACAGTATGATGATGCATTGAATATGGGGATGCAATATAATGCAATGAATATGGGAATACACTGAATATGACAATACAATGAATATGGGCATGCCATATGACAATGCTCTGAATATGGGTACTGGATATGGAGATACAGTGAATACAGATATACAAACCTTGGACTGACCCTATGGGTTTAGTTCTTCCCCATAATAATAATAATAATCCTTGGACTGAACCTGGTTGCCTTCTGTGCCTCAGGTGTCATGTCACTCCTACGGGTTTAGCAATTAACCCTTGGTTAAAATAAAAATAATATGGGATACAATGACAGATAATGCAATTGCTAGGGGATGCTATATGATGCAATGAATTTGACAATCAGTTAATATGGTGATGCACTGAATGTGAAGATACAATGAATACGATGCACTGAATCTGAGGATACGATGAAAATGATGCAACTAACATTAAGATACAAGAAATACAATATAATGAATAATATGCAATGAAGATGATACAGCAAATACGATTATACAATGACCCATGCTGGTTTACAGTATTTTTATATAATGATAACATATACAATGAAAAATATAACCGTATATTTGTCTTAGCAATACGAGATATAAGAGCATACCTGGAGGGTATTTCTGGAGGTCAACTCCCCCCGCGGCCCGGTCCCTGACCGGACCTCGCGGTGGATCAAGGCCTGATTAATTAGTCTGTTACTGCCGGCCACACGCAAACCGACGTACAAACCACAGCCCGGCTGGTCAGGTACTTTAAGTGCCTCTCCAGCTCTCTCTTGAAGACAGCCAGCGGTCTATTGGTAATCCCCCTTATGTATACTGGGAAGCAGTTGAGCAGTCTTGGGTCCCAAACACTTATTGTGTTATCTCTTATTATACTCATTGCATCCTAGCTTTTCATTGGGGGATGTTGCACAGCCTGCCAAGTCTTTTGCTTTCGTAGGGAGTGATTTCCTTTTGCAGATTTAGGACTAGTCCTAGGATTTTCCAAGTTTATACTATCATGTATCTTCCTCGCTTAAGTAAGTTTATTCAGGTATACACAAATACAGTTACATAGATTATCATACATAGCAGCATATGTGTAGAGAACCTAGGATAACCCAAAAAAGTCAGAGTTACTTATTTCCATTGGAGTCTTGCGTTCCAAGGAATACAGGTCAAGGGTCTTCCACCGTTCCCTGTAATTTAGGTTCTTTATTGTAGTTTAACGTGCAGTGAAAGTTCTCTGTATGTTCTCCAAGTCTGCAATTTCGCCTGCCTTGAAAAGGGCCGTTAGTGTACAGCAATACTTCAGCCTAGAGAGAACAAGCGATTTAAAAAGAATCATCATTGGTTTGGCATCCCTATCTGAAGGTTCTCATTATCCATCCTATCATTTTCCTAGCAGGACTCACGAAATCGTAATGACACGATTGCAAACAAACCATACCACGGGCGGGGATAGAACCCGCGATCAGAGAGTCTCAAAACTCCAGACCGTCGCGTTAGCCACTGGCCCAGTGGCTAACGCGACGGTCTGGAGTTTTGAGACTCTCTGATCGCCGGTTCTATCCCTGCCCGTGGTATGGTTTATTTTCCTAGCAGATGTGGTAGAGACATTGTTGTAATCTTTGAAAGTGAGATTCTCTGACATTATCACTCCCAGGTCCTTTACATTACTCTTTCACTCTATTGTGTGGTTGGAATTTGTTTTATACTCCGATCAAGTTTTTATTTCCTCGGGTTTTCCATAGCGGAGGAATGGATATTTGTCCTCACTGAACCTCAAATTGTTTTCTGCGGCCCATTTAAAGCTTTGGTTTATATCCGCTTGGAGATTTGCAGTGTCCTCAGCGGATGACACTCTCATGCAAACTCTGTTATCGTCAGCAAATGTGCTGTGGCTAACATCTCTGTCTGTCAGAAATGAGAATGAGGAAAAGGATGGGAACGACTAGACCGGAGGCTTTTGATCCAAGGAACTGGAATTATTTTTCCCCTCTTTCCTTGGATCAAATCCGATTTACTTCCCATCCCCCATCCCTCTTCCCGTCAATCGCTGTGTGACTCCCCTGGGGGTTTAACGCCTCCAATTGTTGATTTGATCAGTTAGGCTGCTGACACCTTTGGCGAGCACAGCCGTCACAGCCTGGTTGATCATATTTTTACACTTGTAGTGTTTTTTGTCTGGATGGTTGGTGGGTGGGTGGTGATGGTGGTGGTGGCCTAACCTGGCTTACCCATGGCTGGCTCTGCCTGGTTTAACCTGGAGTTTACCTGGAGTTTACCTGGAGAGAGTTCCGGGGGTCAACGCCCCCGCGGCCCGGTCTGTGACCAGGCCTCCTGGTGGATCAGAGCCTGATCAACCAGGCTGTTGCTGCTGGCTGCACGCAAACCAACGTACGAGCCACAGCCCGGCTGGTCAGGAACCGACTTTAGGTGCTTGTCCAGTGCCAGCTTGAAGACTGCCAGGGGTCTGTTGGTAATCCCCCTTATGTATGCTGGGAGGCAGTTGAACAGTTTCGGGCCCCTGACACTTACTGTATGGTCTCTTAACGTGCTAGTGACACCCCTGCTTTTCATTGGGGGGATGTTGCATCGTCTGCCAAGTCTTTTGCTTTCGTAGTGAGTGATTTTCGTGTGCAAGTTCGGTACTAGTCCCTCTAGGATTTTCCAGGTGTATATAATCATGTATCTCTCCCGCCTGCGTTCCAGGGAATACAGGTTCAGGAACCTCAAGCGCTCTGGCTTGTTCTGGCCACCACCCTCACCACTACAGTCACTCTTGAGTGTTCAAAACTACTTTGATGACAAGCGTCTCACTAGTGACTCTGGCATCCATCATCATCATCATCATTGATAGGAATGATTATACCAAGTATATATAAATGCTTCGAAATTTATTAGGAAAGTGACTGTTGCACTTTTTATTGGGGGCTCTGGTGGCCTGGTGGCTAAAGCTCTCGCTTCACACAGCGAGGAT